CTTGTTATCTCAGATTCTCCAGCATCTGCAGTTCCTACTATCTCTGAAATAAAGTTTCAATAGTTGGCCTCAAAGACCTTGGCTTAAAAAAGTGAGATGTAGCCAGGGTTTCTAGCTGTATCACCTTTGCTAGAAGCAGAAGTTGGATTATGACAAAGTTCATTTACATCTGGGGATGCATAGCTTGCTGTTAAATCATTGCCAAGATTTACACAAGCTAAGTTATCATACAGGGAGATACAGGAGGCAGTCCAGTGTCTGTGTGAATGTACATCAACATGAAGTCACACAAGATTAAGGAAAAAAGGAGTGGTCCAATGTGGCGAGGAAGATAAAGCATGTTTCACTTTATAAATTTATATGCGTTTGTAATCATCTTTTTTTTTAACTGGCCCCTGACGCTTTCAAAGATCTGTGTATCCTCTTCAATTATAACTGTTCTGATGAAATGTCATTGACCTGAAGTAAGTAAATCAGTTGTTGGGCATTTACCCTGTTAGAGATACCTGTAACCATTGGAATTTAGAAGAATGAGAGGTAATCTTGTTTAAACATGTAAGATTCTGAGGAGGCTAGACAGGATGAATGTGGACAGGATGTTTCACCTTGTGGAAAAGACTGAAGTTATGGAACACTGTTTAAAGATAAGGGGCTTTAAAAATAATGAGGAGGAATTCATCTCTCAGAAGGTTGTGGGTCTATAGAACTCCCTTTCTGAGAGAACAGTGGAGACAGGATCATTGAATGGTTTTATCTTGGAGATGAATAGGTTCTTGATGGAGAAGAGTTGAAGTCTATCAGACATAGGTAGAAATATGGGTTTGATATTGCAAAAAGATCAGCCATGATCTTATTAAATGGCACAGCAGGCTAGAGGGACTGAATGGCCAAATTTTGTTACTAATTTGTATGCAATTTCTTTTGTTCATATTCCATTTGGTACAATAGCAATGGCTGATTAGTCTGGATTGATCCTTATGAACTGAAATATTGTGTGAAATTGCCACATTTACTCCAATGATTAGAAATCAGAGACATCAACAATTGCCTCTGTCAAATTGTCTAATGCATTAGGAGGAGCGATTCAGTATTTTCACATGATTTCACATTTGAATCAATTCCATGATGGCTCACTTTAGAGACCTTATGAGTACGTCATCAGTTTTGCCAATATAGCCATCCTATTCAGGTAGTCATAGGCTTAAGCTATGAACGTTTGGTTTGTTTGGATGTGCAAGGAGCGTTCAAATGATTTGGCACCCATTAATGCATGCATATTTATGTATACAAGTAAACACATCAATCTCTAACCCCAGCTGCTGCAAGAGCCATGATATCAGCTTTCTTTGGTAAAGCGAGCGTGCTTATAGATGAAGAGGGTCAAACCAGAGCCATTGGCGAGTTGTGGGAAGCTATCAAAGGCCACAACCAAAGGTCAATGAAAAGCTCAAATGGCCACATTTGAATAGAAGGCTTTTCAGTTGATAAATTGAGAATAATGAAGCAGGTACACCCTGACAATTTCTCCATAGCTGTGAATGTCGTGAATTCCTTTGTGAATAATGTTGGTGAGTGCATATTGAAGGAAATTTCTTGGTAGAGCCAGCACTACAGGCAGAACAATTGAGACACACTGGGCTACACAGATTAGTGACTAAGCTTAGTTTGCAATGGGAAAACTGAAACCGAGTCATTATGTATCTGTTGGAGAGAGTGAAGTCAAATAGTACCTCCTCCGTCTTGTCAGATCATTTCCGCATCAGCCTCAGTGAATACTTTTCTGCCTCTGGAATCAGCTGCCCACTTAATCTGCTGTTGGGTGAGCAGAAGTGAACCATGGAACTGTACAGCAAAGAGAGAGGCCATTTGTTCCAATGCATTTGTGCTTTGTCTCTGAAAGCTCTATCCAATTAAACCCATTGACTTGGCTCTTTAACCATCATGTGCCATACTTTACATTTCAAAAGTGGTGTTGTCCATTAAGTTTGTGTATCTAAAATATCTTTTGCATAACCTCTGTTGAGCTTTGAGATGCAATGTTACATTTCTGTTTTCTAAAATGTTAAAACAAAATAAAGTTATTTCATAAAATAGGTGTCAGATTATCTCATTAGGCAGTACACTTGTGCGACGGGATGTCTTGTGTTCAATTCTCACTTGGTCCTTGCACATATAAACTAGGTTGATATTTTCTTATGAATAGTGTTACAACATTATGACTGAGGATAAGTCTCCCACTTCTTGTCATCTGAGTGGACGTAACACATCGCATGCGTTAATAAAATAGAAGAACTGTGAGGTTTTATTTGGTGGGGGGTGTTGGCATCGTGGTCAACATTATTTGCTTATCCACAATGCTGAGACAAATTAATTGATGATTCGTTTGACAGCTGCTGTGTGGGATCTTACTGTGCACAGGTAGACTGCTAAGATTGTCAAGCAAACATCACTACATGTCAAAATTGATACATTTTAAATCAGGTGCCACATGTATGCATTCCTTCCCTTTTTAATTGTTGTGGATCAATATTTTTAAGTTAGAAATGGTGAGATACCTAAATGCTCCCACAACAACTTGATTCCAAATTTTTAAATATTGTATACTATTTTAGTTAAAAGACGCTAAAGACAGACTCTGAGTGAGATCATCCGAAAGACAGGCCATGAATTAATTTGGATGTTGCATTATGTTATTAAATATTATATTCTAGAAAGCATAGACTCATTGTAAAATTACCTCAAAATATATGACATTGCAGCGCTGAAAACCGATTGCTAAAAGCACTAGAAAGCCACAGAGGTGAAGTCATGGCTATGTACGGTGACCTGACTGAAGTCAAACACCAATACAGTGGTATGCAAGGCCATTGCTGGAAGGTAAGGGCAAGCAACAAGTCTCCTCCTGCAGCTTTCCATCAAAACTCTTCCTTCTGAATGCAGCATTAGAGCTGGGCTGAGTGAAGTCTTTCAGCAAGTGAGGAGCAGTTAAGTCGCCATGCAAATGAGACAGGCCCGGAGATGTAATGAATCTTCTATCAACCTTTCCTACCAGGGTGACAGCTTGCTTTGAGGAAGGTTGTAAACGCGAGAGAGATTGTGGTATAATTCCTCAGACTGGCATTTCTGCCCCCCAGTCACCATTCGATTATCTTCCAAATTGCTGTGTTTCAGAGAGATAAAGATTTTTTATGGCTTGCTGACTTGAAACAAGCAGTATAGCTAGAAAAGCAATGGCAATCCTGCCATGCATAGCAATTTCATTGGTAAAAGACAAGATCTTCACTCATATATTTCAAAACTTACTGAGGACAAGCCAGGGCGTGGGGGCAGGGGTGGTGATTGGCAATAATATGAAATATATTTTGTCATGTAAAATTATCTAAATATATTTCTGTATGAAATTTGTTGGGGGTGTTTAATTTAGAATGTGTTTAATATCCAAAGCCTTCCTGCACCAGTAATCCTGCCTAGAGGTTTTAAAAAGATTACCTCCATTTTTCATATAATGTTAATTTTGGGTTTCAGTGAACAAAATATTAAATTTGGATTTTTTTTTGTTAATTAAAATTTTGTAATTAGAAGGAAAATAATTGTCATGCTGCTCAGAGCTTTAAAATAGTGAGCATGTGAAAAAAAAAGCAGGATGTTGATTCTTGCAGAATATTTCTTGTTAAAATTTACAACTTTGTAACATTTAAACATGATAACCAATGCCATATTGAAATCAAGCTATATTTCGGAAAATGATTAGATAGTAAATGTTGTTTTCCACCAATGTTTAAAGTAGACATATGGCACAATTTTACAAGAGCACTCATTGTAAGGGACTTAGTTTCCCCACAAGGAAGCCAGTGCCTGTTGCAAGTTTAGGGACTTTTTCTAGATGGGTTGTTGGTATAGAAGTCAAAGTCATTCCCATTGAAGAGTCAAAGCTTGTGATTTTTACTCAATATTAGTCTGTTTAGTGCATGCTAATCCAAAGGCATTCCAAAAGAATATGCAGTGAGCCAAGGCTAGATCTGAATTGTTTTGTACAATTAATGGACAGAACAAAACAGGAGACATTTTGGAACCAGATTCTCATTACTTCTGGTTAGAGGAATTCACTGTATTCTCTCTTATCAGTGAAGTTGGCAAAATGGCTTCTCATGTTGCAGGGTGTCATCGACTGCACACTTGTGACTTTGCAGGCATCACATCTAAATGCCAAAATGTTCGGCAATTGCAAAAGTTACTGCACTGAGTGAAAGGTTTGTGTGCGCCCGTGCTCAGCATATCGTGCTGCCGAATGCCTTCTAGCCTGGCAACAGTCAGGACATGTTTGTTCTGCATAGGTGCCTTCTATTCAGAGACTTTCCTGGACCCAGTCTAGTATCTCTTGTGGCCAGAATGTACCTCCCCAATAAAAGCAGTTCTGAAGAAGAGCCATTTTAGACTTGAAATATTAACTCTGTTTTTCTGTCCACGGATGCTGGCAGACGTGCTGAGTTTCTCCAGCACTTTGTGTTTTAACTTAAAAGCTGCAGCCTGGCTGACGGTATTCTGTTGGCCAGCTCGAATTGGTGCTAGTCTCACATGAACTTGGGACCCCTGTGCAAGTGTGCAACCACTCAGTTCATGCTTTATGCTGGCTCCATGCCCTGTCTTTTATTTTCTCAGCCACTACAAGCTTTGCATGCTGCCTGTATCACAATGAGCAGTGCAATGTGATTCTTCCTGCACCCACTCCAAATATTACCCACCCACCCCACCCAAGACTTTTCAAATTATACTGTGGGAATATGGATGTAAAAAGTCCATTCATTTGAAATTTCTTTCTCGCTTACATTTGAAGCCTCTGCTAAAACAATAAAGGAAGAAGGATTTCAGAAGGATATTCTCCAGGATTGTTATTTCACAGTGTATGCTCATGTTTTATTGTTGGGCTTTCTGTTTTTCCAAATGTAAATGCTCTTTCATTCATTGCACTGTAAGTACTTAGACAAATTGTTCCACTTAGGTTGAATGGTCTGGCACACCTCAGCCTGTTCAAATCGAACTGAAGTGTCTACAAGCTGTGAAGGATAAATTGCCTAAAGGACAGTTCATCCTCAGAATTTCGTTGTACAGCCGACTTGGGGGCTATCCACTTCGATGGTTGAACACGAAGGATCACAACTGGACAGGGACAACCCAACCAGTCCACCATGATGGCAACTTTTATAACATGGAACTGAGTTTCAACCAGAGCATTGCTGCGGTAAGCAATATCATTATTGTATAATACTTACTTTGTAAAAGAAGTGACAACAATGTTTCAGGAACTAATGTATTTTCGACTTCGCTTCACAGCAAACAGTGAGATATGTGTTTTGAAGATTCATACTCCAATGTCTCTCAAATAGTCTGTGTACCATTCATGGTTGAGTGATCAGAGAAATCACTGAGGCAGGTGCTTTGGTTTAACCAGGGAAAGGACTGTGTATTTTGAGCGCTTTTGTCCTGTATTATGTTTTGAGCCCTCTTCCACCATATTATATACAGTCAGTAGAGAGGTTTGCAGTGTCTGTGCCTCTTTGTCTTCCCACCTGCGCTTCACATGTAGCTCATGGAAGTAAAAAGTGAAGAAAATAGATATAATGAATTCAGTTGCCTCAAAGCAAGTAGCCTGACAGAATTACACTGTATCATTCAAGAATTGAAAAGTACTCTCATATCTAAGATGGAACTTCTTCGACGGCAGAATGAGAGAAGACACCTTTTTAAGCATTAGTAAGCAACCTGTTTACATTGTAGTCTTCTTGAATTTAATCAAAAATGTTGTTGATCATCTGACTATTTCTCTGTGGTTCTTACAAAGGTCTAAATCTGCTACTCCACCTTACAGTTCATGTTCCTGCTGTGTTAAAATCAAGACTGATTGTTCAGCCTCTAATTCTAATTCATTTTTTAGACCTCAAAACTGTAGAATTTCTCTCAGTCTTTCCTCCCTCTTACAGTATTTTAAGGGCTGAAGACTCAAGCTTGGTGCAATGCAATTTATTTTGCTGTTCTCTTTTATTCTTCTTTGATGTTTGTGGTCATCTACTGAATTGAATGAATTCCTTGCTTGGAGGCTAAGCACTGACACAGAATAGACAGACTGAACGGCCTGCCTTGTGTTTTAGAATTTCATTGCGTGCTAATTTTTTTTATTCATTCATGGAATGTGGGTGTCGCTGGCTGGCCAACATTTATTGCCCATCCCTAGTTGCCCTTGAGAAGGTGATGGTGAGCTGCCTTCTTGAACTGCTGCAGTCCACCCGCTGTGGGTTGATCCACAATGCATTTAGGGAGGGAATTCCAGAATTTTGACCCAGCCACAGTGAAGGAACGGCGATATATTTCCAAGTTAGGATGGTGGTATTCCCATATATCTGCTGCTATTGTCCTTCTAGATGGAAGTGGTCGTGGGTTTGGAAGGTGCTGTCTGAGGATCTTTGGCAAATTTCTAGTTGAATATCGTGGTGCTTCATTTTGGATTCTTTTTAGGACAGTTGGAATTCCAGCCATTGCAGGCGACCAGGCAACCTGTCTCTGTATCTCATCCTTATTATTTAGCTAATTCTTGGGTCAGATTGATAGATTGAGTAGTATTTTGCAGTTAGGTGAAGACCAGCAAGCAAGAATTGAGTAAACCAGTCCTGCCCTTACAGCTGTGCATCTGTTTTTGCATAATTACAGGAGAAGATTGACAGTAGCTGAGTAGAAGATTGTGTCCTTTTCTTTTCATTCTTGGTAAGTGAAGTGTTGATGGTGGAAGGCAGCCAAGATGGATAAAAAGTGACTGAATGGAAACAATCTGCAAATTGCGAGAGATGATCAGTTGTTTAAAAGGAAATTTTGGTACTTTAGGGATAAAACAGTTGAAGATGGCAACAGTGAGTATCATAGTGCTTTTGTTCAGCATTGTGTTTCGTGGATCTGATGAACTTTAGATTGATTGAGGTATATAAGTCACTGCATTAGCAAACAATATACAATTATGTACATCTCTACAATATGGTCTGATTGATAGCTTTGATTTAGGTAATACCTGCTGTGCGTATGCCTTGCTGTTAAGAGAATTCACCTTTTAAGACCTCCTTATGCTCTGTGTATTCAGTGCTGTGAGTCTGCCTGGCTTTTAGTCTGCAATGATTTTGCAAGCTGCACACATACAAATCAGTTGGTTTGCTGCCATGCTTATGTATAAATTGAAATGTGTGTTACTGTATAAAAATAAATTAACCCAAGGAAGTATTCAAGTCCTGATGAATGATTGAATTATTAGACCATTATCAGTAACATTGCAATGTCCATTGTAGAAAAAGCTTAAAAGATGAGCTTCTTTCAGCCTGTAGTTAAGAAATAAAAATTGCTTCACACTTTCATCCTGCTTCAGTTTATGTTAGCCTAGTTTCTAAACAGTAGTGGCAGTATCCAGGTCATAATATTTCCAAGCAAGGGAGAGACTAATGTAAGGATATTTTTATGCTTCCTTTGAAACTGGCATCCATCTCCTTCTGTGCATGAAGGCAACACTTCTGGCAGCTGCACTAAAGACAGAGATCCCAAGACACTGTGGGGAAACACTTCTTGCCCTAAGCGCAGCAGTGTATCTATTCCTGCCCTCAGAGTCTAGCCCCACCATAACTTATAAGGTCAAGGGTAAGTACTCTGACTTGCATAGACATGCTAACTTGGGTCTGCCATCTGCGCTGTTACCTCTCACTCACAAAAGTGGATGGAAAGACCCAACTCCCGACAGGATATTGTTAGGTGGGTTTTTTTTTCTTTGCAGCCTCTTTACAAGACAGTTTTAATACTTGCAATAAGCCAGTTTATTGGTGGCCCAGGTCTTAATTTTGGACCTGACCCCAGGTGGACCTCACAGTTACCATGGTATGACATACTAAGGAGACATAGTCCACAAAGGGCTGTCAACATCACTCTGCATTAGAGAAAGATGTATGTATAAATAGAAACATATGTATAAATTGTAGGTAGCCATTCCATAAATATGGGGTAAGGTCAGGCCTCTGTGAACTATCATAGCTGGTACAGGGATTGCGCTGTTGCCTTAATGCTGCGCTATGCTTTAGTTATCGTGCTGACCGAATTAACCAATTCTCCAGTTACCGTGGTAAACCCTGCACTACTCACATTCACCAGCTGCACTGTGCTCAAAGATCTGCCAAGAGCATTGGAGAGTCAGTATTGAGAGGCAGTGCTCTGAAAGAGTGAATAGATTTTCAGCCTTGAATCTTCAGTGATTTAATGCCAGAGTTTGTTTGAATGACTTTGTTTTCATTTTGCTTTTACTTAACAGCAGATTTTCTTCATGATTTAATGCCAAATTTTGTTTAAAGGATTTTGTTTAAAAATGGAGTTTCACTTACAGCAGATAATCTTCTTAAAGTACATTTTGCTGCACTGTTTGCCAAGGCTGTAACTTGTAATAGAAAATAAAACTCAAAACAGTTGGACTACTTAGCGTGCACTTAACTGTGGTTCTTGTGTACTTCTGCTAACAAATTATTGTAATAGGACATGCTGCAAGAGAAAATGGATCCAAGTACTGATAAATATTCAGCATACATATTCATAAAGTATATTTAGTTTAAAAACACTCTTATTTAGCCCAATAAGTATAGAAGTCCTTTGAAGTAAATTCGCTACAATAATAATTACGTGGCCACCAGGTAAAAGTAACTCCATATTGCGAGTAGCTTTAATTAAAAAGAAATAAGGATAAAAGAGTAATTTTAAATACGGTGCTATTTTTTGTTTTAATATCTCATCCTTATCATTTTGTAGCTTAAGTTCAGCTAATAGTCATACAAAGTGACATTTGTAAAACCATAAAAACTGAAAGAACTACAGACGTCATAAATCAGGAACAAAAACAGAGGTTGCTAGAAAAGCTCAGCAGGTCTGGCAGCATCTGTGAAGAAAAAATCAGAGTTAACGTTTCAGGTCAGATAATCCTTCCTCAGAACGAGTAAAACCACGTTATATTTATTGTTCTGTCACCTCACCACCAGGTTATACTTATACTTTGACAGCAACGCTCACATTCCATGAAAGAACATAGAAAAATAATGTTTGTTGGCTCTTTCATTTAGTGAGTGAGTGACTGCCTAAACTCTTTTCTTGGGGCTTGGGCAGGTCGCTAGCCTAAGTTTGTTATCTGTTAACCTTCTATCTGCTTTACAACAGGCAATACTCCATCCAACTCAATTTGTCTAACATTTTCCTGGTGTGACTCCACTTTAATGCACAAGAGTTCAGTGGCGTTGTTGGGGGAAGATTGAGGTTGAATGTGGCGGGTCATGCTAATTATTATTTTTTTCCAAAAGAAAAGTTCCCTACCTTCTCTCAGGTTTTCTATTGCAGCAACAATCAGGCCACAATGACCTATCCGCAAGGCCATGGTCACTATCGAGTAAAGTCACCACAATCCTATCGGATCACATGGTGCTTTCTGATTAGAGAGAGAGAGAGACAACTCATGGTGGTTTAACCTGAGGGTCGCCACACCTCAGGTGAAAGGAGAGATTGAGAAGATAGTAACTTTAGCTGGTGCAGAAATTGAATCATCTCTGTTGATATCTCTCTATATAAAAAAATGGCCATCCAGTGAATTGTGCTAACTGACATCCCCTCACCGTAATAGAACAGTGCATGATTTGGGGCGGCACCGTGGCTCAGTGGTTAGCGCTGCTGTCTCACAGCACCAAGGACCCAGGTTCAATTCCAACCTCACGTGACTGTCCATGTGGAGTTTGCACATTCTCCCCACATGTCTCCCACAGTCCAAAGATGTGCAGGTTAGGTGCATTGGGCATGCTAAATTACCTGTAGTGTCCAGGGTTTTGTGGATTAACCATTGGAAATTTAAGGTGATGGGGGGAGGGGGAGATGGGTCTGGACGGGATGCTTTCCGGAGGGGCAGTATAGGCTCAATGGACTCTGATTCTGCACTATATGATTTAAAGGGTCCTCATTACTGTGACCACTCAGTCAAAGCTCCATGGCAGGTATTGCTGCTTTGAAGCTCACTGCCTAAACACTCATCTCTCAATCCACTGGGGACGAAGGCCTACAGTTTGGGAAGCCCTGACAAAACTATTCATCCCAAGATCTAGTAAAGCTCATCTACAGAAGGCAATCAAAGTTGGAAACAACAATTAAGACTTGGATGCAATCTCAGTCCCTCTATTGTTTGAACTTCACATT